GGGCGTCGCCTGGGTCTCTCCGCGTCCATCTCACTGGGAGCCCGGCGGACCGGAAATCAAAAAGCGCTTCGTTACCACCCCCAGCTAATCGCGCATCAAAGCCCAAAATCCCGGCGAAACCGGCTATGTTTTCTCATCCGGACACGACCTCGTTGGCTCCTAAACCAGGACGAGCGTCACCCGATCGAAGTATTTCACCCTTTAGCACCCCTCCTGGTAGCCCAGAGAAGCATATGGTCAAGCCGCAATCTACTGGGAAGAGCAGTGCTAGGCCAGCACCAGCTCGGCCAACGACGGAGCCACCGACTCGGCGTTCATTTGACGAACGATCACCAGTTCCGTCTGCGACAGCCAGACATGACGCCAGAGAGATGGGATTCTCAAGGATTCGTCCCGGTCCAGAGCCCTCACGGTCCTCCAAGCCGTTGATGGTGCAGATTCCATCTGCTCCTGTAGATGCTCCGATGTCTGCGGCCACTGCTCCCCCTCTTTCAGCGCAGAGATTCCGAGCCAGTGATATTCCCTACGACCGCCCAGGGCTTCCTCCTCGACCTTCTGGGGCTCCCCGTCGGTCTGGAGTATCCCCAGTACGAGAGTCCCCCAGAAAAATAAGCGGATCTGCGCAGCCGGCACCGATTGCTAGATCTGCACCTTCTTTCCCGCGTGCTAGCGAATCCTCAGCCCCCAAACCAATCCAGCGGCAACCCTCCCTACCCCGTGAATCTCACCTGTCTTCTTCTCTCCCCGAGAGGCGCGTTGTGCGTACAGACACGGAAGAAGAAGAACCAGCCGAAGAGCCAGCTATCTCGCGGACCGACTATCCCGATGCATCAAAAGCTAACCGTCGACCCCCACGTTTTAAATCTGGACCGCAAGATATTCTGACGAAGTATGATACCCGTCTGCTCGCTGTGTGCGGCAAGTATGTGTGCACGACTGGGTATTTGACCCGGGTGTGGGATCTTACAACTGGTGACCAAGTGATGAGTCTTAGTCATGGCGAGACCGTGAAAAGTTTATCTCTTGCTTTCAAGCCAGGGAAAGGTCTTGAAGACGAGGGCGAGCGTATCTGGCTCGGTACCAGCGCTGGAGATCTCCACGAAGTTGATATCCCGAGTCAGTCCATCGTCGCTACTCGCGCATACCCCTCCCGCCGAGAAGTCATTCAAATCCTGCGACACAAGAAAGAAATGTGGACGTTTGATGACGAAGGCCGGCTGCTTGTTTGGTTGCCAGACGAAACAGGTGCACCCAACTTGCAATACAGCTACCATAGCCCTTCCGAACGTGTAGCCCGAGGCCACACATTCTCCATGGTAGTTGATGACAAGCTGTGGCTAGCAACAGGGAAAGACGTCCATGTATATCGCCCTAACGCGCGGGATGACGTTCCATTCAAGGTCTTCAAGCGACCTCTCGGTCTTCAGCACTCTGGCGATGTGACTTCTGGATCCTATACCACGCGAGATGGAGGTCGGGTGTATTTGGGACACGCAGACGGCAAGGTTACTGTGTATTCCTCAACTGATTTTAGTTGCTTGGCGGTGGTCAATGTCAGTGTGTACAAAATCAACTGCCTTGGATTCGTCGGAGACTATCTTTGGGCTGCGTATAAGACCGGTATGATTTACGTCTACGATGTGTCCACCAACCCCTGGACCGTGAAGAAAGACTGGCGTGCCCACGACAGTCCCGTATCCAGCTTCGTGTTAGACATGAGCAGCGTATGGACCATGAACCGCCTGCAGGTGACCTCGCTCGGCACTGATAATTGCATTCGTCTCTGGGACGGAATGCTCGAGGACGATTGGTTGGGTAAGTGAAATATTGTTTTCATCTGTTGATGGCTTCCACTAATATACTAGTAGATGCGCGGATGCAGGCCAGAGATGTGGAGTTCTGTAACTTCCGAGAAATCAAGGCCGTCGTCTTGACTTGGAATGCGGGAGCTTCTACCCCCGGCAGTGTGCGAACGTCGGATTTCATTCGTGATGCGGTTACCCCCGAAGACCCGCCTGATATCGTGATATTCGGGTTCCAGGAGTTGGTTGATCTTGAGAATAAGAAGATCACAGCTAGTAAGTCATATACTCTTTTTTTCCCTTCTTCTTCTTCTACGTGACTGCCTACTAACATCGCCACAGAGAGCTTGCTGCTTGGCAGTAAGAAGAAAGAGAACGGCGAGAAGGAACACATGAGTCGTCAGTATCGAGTGTGGATTGAGCATCTTACTCGTACTCTTCACGAATGCATGCCTCTCGAAGAATCCTACGTTCTTTTGCACACTGCGAATATGGTGGGGCTGTTTACTTGCGTTTTTGTCAAACATAAGGAACGCCACAATATCAAAAACATTAGTGCTTCGGAGATTAAGCGCGGGATGGGCGGTTTACATGGGAACAAGGTTTGTGATGTCCCCGGCTTTTTCTATGACTTTTATCTAATTGTACTAGGGTGCCCTTGTTTTGCGCTTCGTCCTGGATGACAGCTCGATGTGCTTTGTGAACTGCCATTTGGCGGCCGGCCAAACCCAGACCGCGAACCGAAACAACGATATTGCTGCGATCTTAGAAGCTGAGTCCCTGCCTGCGGAAAATAGCATGACCCTGCGGACCGATCAGTTTGCCAGTGGTGGTGATGGCTCCATGATCATGGACCATGAAGTGTGCATTCTGAACGGAGATCTGAACTACCGAATCGACGCAATTCCTCGCAATGTGATCATCGACGCAGTTCGCCAGAATAACCTACCAAAACTCCTGGATCGAGACCAGTTACTTGCTTCTCGGAGGAAGAACCCCGGCTTCCGCCTACGCTCCTTCACTGAGTCACCCATCACCTTCGCTCCGACCTACAAGTACGACGTTGGCACGGATGAGTACGATACCAGCGACAAGAAACGCTCTCCTGCCTGGTGCGACCGCATTCTTTACCGTGGTCTGGGCCGCATCAAGCAGCTCGATTATCGGCGACACGAGGTCCGCGCCTCCGACCACCGGCCGGTCAGTGCGGCATTTAAAATTCGTGCTAAGACAGTCCTAAGTCAAGAACGGAAGGCGACGTGGGATGCGTGCAACAAGGAGTTCCAGGATGAGAAGCGTCGGTTGGCTTCTGAAGCTAGCATCGAGTATCTCATTACTGTCCTCGGAACAGATCCCCGTCAGGCCCGTTCCTTGATCTTGGGAAAGCAATAGCCGCTTGCATGGTCGTCCCTCCCTCTCTTTCTTCTTTCCAAGTCAAGCGTACTTTTTTTTTAATATGCATTTGGGTGGAAGCATGGCGGTGTATATTGTACGACTAATGATTTTACGATAGACATGTATCATGATGGCTGTTAGAAATAAAAAGGCTCTTTTTCATATATGACAAGAATAGTTGTCTTTGTCATGTCTCCGTAGATATTCTTTTCGACGTCTTTTTGGATATCTTTTTAGGTGTCTTTGTAGGTGTATACGAAAGGAGTAAAGATAACGTACTGTATGCAAGAGACCTTTCTATATATATACCTTTTACTCCTTTAGTGATAACTGGCATACACTTAACAAAGGTTGAGCGGGCATATATCAAGTCCCAGTGCCTTAATAGAATTAATGCCCTTCAATATGTAAGTTGCTATACGTAGTGACAATGCTGGTACTGCCCTCACTTAGGGTCTTACGCTGCTCTCACTTGAGCCATTGGTTCTCTATATTTCATCTCTTGCCATATCCTTGAATTTGCCCTCTGTTCATATAGAGCTCTATTTCAAAAAGAAAACCTTCCGCGAAGGCACCCGTGGCTACAGTGAGATCCGTAAACGCATTAATCTTTCATACCAGACTACTCCCACCGACGGCAGTAACGAAATCGCAAAAGAAAGGAGGCAGCTATGTGCGACGCGGAATGGTGTTGCCTTCGCCTGGTCCTCCTTGAGCCGTACAACACCAATTCTACAGCGTCTAATATGGCTGAAAACCAAAGAGCGTGGACATAAATGGCGAGCACAAAAAGTCTCAAATTCCTCCAAGATCAATAACCTTTGGCCACGTTAATGAGATGGGCTTGTGTTGAGATAGTGGAGGTATCCTGAAGGCTCCTCTGGTCAATGACCGTAGTCTGCCATCATGGATGCAAGCTCCCAAAGAAGAGGTGAAAAAGCAATTGCCATATGACCCAGCCCATCAAAAGTGCCGTCCAGTTGATGTCACTGTTATCTGGTTTCGAAACAAGAGATATCCTCCCAAAAGTGGAAACTGGATGCTGCACTGGAGGCAGCCGAAGACCAAGAATTGAAGATGCCCACCTCCAAGTGCAAAATGCTCCAATAGCCTCGGGTATTCGCCCCAATCGCAATGTTTTGGGATTACATTTTCACCGTATTCAATTGCCGAGAGCTTGGTCTGAATATTCACACAGTGTCAATGCACTACCACAGCACAGTGGATCCGTTGATAAAGATACATTCTTCAATGTCGTGACCACGGAATGGGAGGAGATCAAAAGCATTTTCAGATGGAACTAACAACAGATTTGAAATTGATATGTATCATTGCTTTTCTTATATGGTGTTGCAGTAATCCTTTAAGGTATACCCCCTTTCCTAGCATTGATCTATATCGAAGAGGCGAAGTGACCTGATGTCATAGCATGTAAGGATCGAACTATTGTCTTACTGCACCTTTCCTGTTTGTTTGACTTCTATTCCTTTTCCCCGAACCCCGCCTCCGTCCCCGTCCCCGTCGACCCCAATTAGGAACATCGGAAGGCGGCACTGTAACCTCGGGGAAACTATCTCAAAGGTACGTTTATCCACAGGCATTGCAGTGCATATTAACAATCCTCTCTATTTATGCATGTAAGTTAGACTACCGTCGAGTGAGTAGTGATCGACACTGCTAGTATATTGTCAATTTAACCAGGGCGACATTAACTTTCCCCCGCACAAGACAGGGACTATAAAGGGCTGCAGGTTTAGAAGATTTAGTTAGTATCGAAAAAGAAACTAAACACAACTCAAAGACATGCTAGGGCCATTGACTCTTACTTTTGCTGTTGCATTGCCTATGCTGCCAGCGGCAAATGCTCTGGTTAGGAAAAATGATGTTGTATGCTATCTCTTTTTTTTAAATGATTCCGAACAGAAGTACTAACTCAAAATAGGGCAGATTGCCTGCTCTAGGATGGAACTCCTGGAATGCATTCCAATGTGATATCAATTCTACCAAGGTCATCACCGCAGCTAATGAGGTCGTTAATCTTGGACTGAAGGATCTGGGTTATGAATATATAAATAGTAGGAACCGAACTATCATATGAAAATGGCGCGAATCACTAACCCTTCCAAGTTGATGACTGCTGGAGCGTCAAGAACACCCGCGACAAGAACACAAATCGCCTCATTCCAGACCCATCCAAGTTCCCCGATGGTATCTCTGGTGTTGCAGAGCAAGTTCATGATTTGGGACTCAAAATTGGGATCTACAGCAGTTAGTATCCCATACCCTCCCATGTGCTGATAGAATCCCATATCTGACATGTGGCTAGGTGCTAGCGAGGTTACCTGCGCTGGATATCCCGCCAGTCTGGGATACGAGACAGTCGATGCACAGTCTTTTGCTGAGTGGGGGATTGACTGTATGTTATTTCTATTCTGGTTCATCTGTCTCTACGATACTGAACCCCTGCAGACCTCAAATATGACAATTGCGATGTCTCCAGTAACTGGACAGACACATATGCATACTGTGTTCCTGATGGTGACGGCGACCACCCTAATGGCACCTGTCCTGACATCACCAATCCCGCTCCAGAAGGATATGACTGGAAAACGTCCAAGACTTATCAGCGGTTTAGTGCAATGCGCGATGCCTTGCTCAAAATTGACCGCACAATCCTCTATTCACTTTCTGAATGGGGCCAGGCTGATGTCAAGACCTGGGGCAATGAAACTGCGAACTCGTGGCGCATGTCTGGCGATATCACCGGTAAGTTCTTTACCTGATATTGGAGTGGGAGGATTAGTGGCTAACTCTGTCTTCAGCGGATTGGGCCCGTATTGCGCAAATTGCCAACGAGAACAGCTTCTTGATGGACTACGCCAATTTCTGGAGTTACCCAGACCCGGACATGTTGGAGATTGGTAATGGGGACCTTACCATCGAGGAGAACAGGGCGCACTTTGCACTTTGGGCTGTCATGAAATCCCCTCTGATCATTGGCACGGCGGTATGCGATATATTTCAAGGTCCAGCTCTTATGGCAAGATATACTGACAACTATAAAGCTCGATTCTATTAACGACGACCACTTGGCAATTCTGAAGAATAAGTACCTTCTTGACTTCAACCAAGACCCTGTTGTTGGAAGTCCTGCTCATCCTTATAAGTGGGGATACAACCCAGACTGGACTTTTGACCCGGCCCATCCTGCAGAGTATTGGTCTGGTGCATCCTCTACATTAGAGGGCACTTTGGTTCTGATGCTGAACTCTGAGAATGCTACTTCTACTCGCACTGCGAGATGGAGCGAAATCCCAGAGCTTGAGAGTCATAATGCATATCAGGTTATTGATGCTTGGACTGGCAAGGATTTGGGCTGCGTGAAGAATACGTACAAGGCTTCCTTGAAGAGTCATGATGCAGCTGTGTTGGTGGTCAAGGGACGATGTTAGACAGAGATTGCCAAGGAACAATATCTATGTCCTGGGTTGTTAGGTATTACAGTGATTCCAAATTCTGAAACTCATCACGCACTCAGAATAAAGAGCACAAAGAGTATTGTTTATGGTTGTTTATTAATCCTAGTCCAAGGGTGGTGTGTTGCAGGATATTCGAGGAACAAAGAACGTTGGCATTTAATATTCACTCGAGTATTTATAGACTCTTTATTGGCTTTGATGACTTTGTTGGCATTGTTCAGATTCCAAAGAATCAATACCTTTGTAATAAGAAAAGTGCTCTCTCAAGTATTTAAGAGCCTCGTTGTCCCGGCACAATCCTTATTCTTCATCACACTTCACATCTACAATCGCATTCTCAGTATTTACTACCAAACTCATTCAAACCAACTGACACGGTTAATTCAGGGAATATCTTACCGTAACAATGCCTGCTCATCACCATTGCAACGCTCATTCCGGTCTGCCCCGCGTTTGGCTGGGTTGGGGTGAGTTGGGCAACCGCAAGGCTCAACTCCAAGAAGAGCAGCAGGAGTAAGTGACAAAGAACATCCCTCCCAACAAAAAAAATAAGAAAAAGCATATATACTAACATTTTCATAGCTACTTCGAGACCCACAAGCCCGATTTCAAGCTGCGACACCCAAACACCGGCCGACGCAGTTGGAATGTGCACTTGGATGTCATTCGCAAGTCAACCCGTTGGATTGACTGGCGAATTCACAAGACTGGAGATAAACAGAAGCTTGTTCTTCCTGATTTGGTACGTGCTGAGCAGATTGACAGCCTTCTTAATTTCTTTTATACTGGTGACTATTCGGTTGAAGAAGCCGACCTGAGAAATTACTCGATTTGGCCCTGCCCTGGTGGCTGTGTCACTTGTCCTCAGATCTGTCAGCTCTTGCGCATTCACTTGGCCATGTTCCAAACTGCCCTTCTTCTTAGAATTACTGACCTTCAGGCCCTTTCCTTCCGCAGATTCCGTGATCTTACGGACACTGCTCCGGCTTTCGTTTTGCAGTATGCTGTTCAAGCAGTGTATAGTAGGGAACCTATTCCTGACGGGAGCAACAACTTCCAGATTACTGGTTTGAAATCTGTCAAGGACTACCGCCCTGAGCTGGTGCTTCCTGCAGTTCTTAGGTATTGTGGATATTACCGCCTGAATCCTCAGCAGATCACAAGAAACGGGAAGAAGGTGAGGGTTTTTGGCGAGTCGGAGTTTGCTGAACTATGCCGAAAAAGCCCAAAGTTTGGTGGGGATCTTGCCCTGGGACTGTGGCTGGACACTATTGATATCACAGTTCCGACTATTCAGTTCCCAGGTAACTCAGAGCCCATGAGGTCCCTTCATCCTTATATGCAGACTCCACTCGCTCCACAGGTGGTAGACCCCAAACGCTCAAACTATCAATATGTTACTTACTTGCAGCCCTTGCCCTTCAAGGATTTCAATGACCAGCAACCTTCTAATACCCCTACTTGGACCCCATCCCCCCAGCGTACGTCCACTGGGCCTTTTGCTACTCCGCAAACCTCATCGCGATGCAGCCAGGCACGCTCCTCGTTCAACTCGAGCAGTCAGGTTTCAGTACAACAGGCTCCAGTCATCCCCCAGTTGACCCTAGAACAGATAGAGGAGTTTAACTTCCTTAGTGAGGCTTTACTTGATAACACTACAGATCAGATGGCTGCGCAACTACCAGAGGAATATTCCACAGGCCCTGTCGATTTGATTGATATTGACTGGACAAATACGATGGACTGGAGCGGAGCGGATGTACCCGATATTGACTTCAGTGCGCTTTTGAATGACGATTCTATGGGTGAGCCAGTTGCGAATGCATTGGACTTGACACAGGTAATGAACTGGGCAGGAGAGGACCTGGCTAATGTGGACTTCACTCGGCTTTTGAATGATGACACTTTGGACTTGGAGTCTTTCGATCCATCCTTCCTGGACCTACCTGTGGATATGGATTTAGATCTAACAGACTTCAACTCTTTTGACATGGCGGGCCTACCCGATATCGACTTCTCTGGACTCACTCCACAGGATTCTATGGACAGTGAATTCTTGATTCAACCCCAGTGCATGGACTCAATCTTCCCCGGAATGGATAACTATGTGACTGTTCCTCAGGAGATTAGTTTTCTTCCAGAGCCATTAAATTCAGAGTGGGCTATAGACTCTACTGCTTCCACCCTGAGAGCGGCCCTTTCTGCACAGACCCTAGATCAACAACAGGCAGCCCAGTCCACGTTCCTTTCTGCTGGAGACAAATCCCGTGCATCAGTTTCGTCTACCCAAACCCGGTACAATTTGAGGACTCGTCCGAGCATGGTTCATGTGATGGAGGAACTTTAGAGATGACCATGGAAATGAGGAACTCAGGTGAGCCATCTACGAACATTGCTTTTGAGCCTTACTCGTTCTCTTTATTCCTTTTTATTCTGTCTGTATTTCTATGCATATAGAACTATCATTTAAAGTGTTGCTTCAAAATAAAGATAAGATTGTATTAAAAAATGAAAAAGAGATATATAAACCAGGAAGAATCAAATCACAGCAATCACATCATCATCATCCATCTCTTTATTTTTGTTTGTATTAGTCTATTTCTAAGTCTTACTAATTATCTAATTGTATTAGAATGTGAAATATTTATTTTATAACTAGGTTGACTAATGAGAGCTTTCAGGATGCTCATCTAGTAAAGCCGCATATGCATTCAGCGACTGCCCGATCAGATCCAACATCGAAAGTGCTCTGGTTGTAAATGTGATGTATGAAGATCTGTTATGTTCAAGCTGTGGAACTATATACACAATTGTAGTACAACTTTCCTTCACTGACCCATATCGCAGCTCAACAAGAAAGTACTCAGCAGTTAAGTTGGAAATTTTGTGCTTCAGATTATTGTTTTCTGAGACCATAAGCTCAACATGAAATTGATCCAAATCTAACGTAACGAAGTTTAGAACAAATTGATAATCTGAATAATCATTGTGGTCCCGTCAATGTGATGCAAAATTGAAAAAACAGCAGGTTGGCAAAGAAGTCATAGATAGTAGATAAAATGGATACATAGTACAGAATAAGAGGAAAATACAACCGGAAGGAATTTAGACTGGTAAGGTAAATGGCTCAACAGGACAAGGTCGACGCTGGGTCTTCAGGGGAAACAGTCAACTAAATATTGAATAATCTCCTAAGACCATATAAATATATATCTTGTCCAAACTAATATTAACCTTTTTCGCGGTCGCATTATATTTGAATTTGAAATGTATACTTATATAGCTATTAGTATCATAAATTCCAACAAATTTAGACTCTACATTAAAAAGTAGAAGGTTAGAATACAGCGATTATAAGATGCTAGGTAAACCCCCTAACAGAAATTGAAGGGTACGACAATATAATTAACTATGGTAAAACATATGTACTATGGTAAAACATGTACTATGGTAAAACATGTACTATGTACATGGATGTTCTGCCCTAAAAGCGGGTCCACGGGTGTATATTCCGCGCATGTGAAATCATGCTGACTAATATTCCGATGCCCTGAGAGCCCAAATCGGAAGGCTGCCATTTTCGGCGATTTATCGCCAATTAGCCCTTGAGCTCATCGATAAGGTGTGAGTTGATCCAATTGACGGGGTTGAAATACACACATATGTATCTACTACCCCGAGATAAACCAATTACTGGGTGTGATACACTCAGTACTACAGTATGCATATATGTAGTACTGATGTATACATCGATGCACTATCAACGACCCCCGCCATATCCGTTTGCGGTCTTGGTTCCCCCTCAGCTTTGGATTTGCAACCCTTTAAATAGCTGTGGATACAAGATTAAACCATTGTCATTCGTGATATTCGTGATATTCATAAGATATTCGTACTTTTGTAAGATGCATCTGCTAGTTAGTTACTTCCCCAAGTCGATACATGTAACCATGGAACATCCACCCAGTCCACTACGTCAGAATGCCTGCCCTGTTATAATCGTCTTTCTGTCCTGAAAATTGTCTATCGTCCATTGTCTATTTTGTCTACCCCTTGTACCTCTCCTGTCCCTTGATATAAATATAAATACAATGCAATGAGGTGGTTCTCTTCCCCGCTTCGGGATTGCGCGTCCCCCCGCGATCCTAGTGTTTCACGGTCGCGGGTCTTCATCTACCTCGGTCTGGCTGTGACTTTACTCCTGCTATCATATCAACTCATTCTCGACCGAGGACCGGGTATAGGTACAAGTTGGACGGCCATTCAGGGTATCATTGTGGCCGGCGATGAGGACCGTTTCGTTCCCGACTATGTACAACCAGCGGAGAAGGAGTTGGTTCTCGCCGCTATGCAGGCTAGCAATATGTCCTGGGTCGAGGAGCATCTGTCAGACTGGCAGGTGAATATCTATCGTGCTGATGCGAAACACGACGATGTTGGCCTGACCGTTCCCGTAAATAAGGGCAATGAGGCTATGGTATATCTGACGTATGTGTTTGACATTTCGACTTCTTCAATCCCAAGCTTGGTGTCATACTAATTGCCCTTTTTCATAACAGCTATATTATTGATCGTTATTGGTCCCTGCCCGAAGTATCGGTCTTCCTGCATGGCGGCCGCTACCAATGGCATGTCGATAACCCGCTCTATGACTCGGTCATCTCTATCTCCCATCTCAACCTCGACTTCGTCCAGGAGGCTGGTTATGTGAATCTGCGCTGCGCTTGGAGCGTCGGCTGTCCCAGGGAGCTTGAACCCGCTCGCTATCTCCGTGAGAGACCAGACGATAAAGGACACCCCACCGCGGTCGAGTATCCTGATCGGTTTATGGAATTGTTTCCGCGCGCGGAGGTCCCAGAGGTTGTCGGGACGCCGTGTTGTAGTCAGTTCGCATTGTCCAAGACGAAGATTCACGAGCAGAGTCTTGAGCATTATGTTCGTTTGCAGCAGTGGTTGATGGACACGGAGTTGGACGCGGGCATCAGTGGGCGTATTCTGGAGTATTCATGGCACAGTGGGTCTCTCTCGTTCGCACTGATCTCTTGATCATCTCTTGCTAACCTCTGCCGTTTACAGTGATCTTCGGAAAACCGGCTCAGTATTGTCTCGACCAACGTGAATGTTATTGCCGGACATACGGTTATTGTAATATGACAGACAGCGATATCCAGAACCAGTGGGTATGGCGCGGTTTACAGCTGCCAGAAGGATGGCCAGAACAGAGCGAATCCGCGGAATAGCCACGCATGTATATCGCCCAATTATGCTTGAATGAAACTGAACATTTCCATTAGAGACCTGACCTATGTACTCAAATCATCATTTCATGAAGCGCGATCCTCATCCTGCTAGACGCACTTTTGCCCTTGAGCCAAATATCTTAAAATACTGAACATTCCACACAGTGGAATCCATCCATATATAAGAACTTCATCGCCATATGTCCTGTTTGCTTAACCGCACTTGGTGTCCATGACTACTCATTGGTCGCTCTTCATCAGCCGGAACAGCCAGGAACCCACCAAACCCGTTCCCGACAAGCACACTCTTGCGAGCATCGCCACCCCAAGACCGGTTTAGCTGGGCCTCGTGGAAGCTCACGGGGCGCGTGCTTGAGTCGCGGCGTCCAGGCGCCGGGCTGGGGTCGTACGGTGTAAAGTTCCACTCAAACTCATCCAGACCCTTGCTGTACACATTCAGGGGCTGCGAAAGACCACCCCGCATCTGCGGGCCGTTTTCACCACCACCGAAGAGTCGTGGTGGGGGCATGAGCAACAATGTATCTGGGAATGAGGAATCACGGACATATAAGTCTTGAAGGGCTGGTAAGGCTCGGGACACCAACGACGAAATAAGATAGGTATAGTATGAGGATACCACTGGTGGCATTCCATGGTTATCGGTTTCGGATGTGAGTTCGTAGTGCAGGAGATTCAGCGACCTCGATGCCATGGGAGGAATCTGCTCCATGGGGAACGAGCGAGAGACCTCCTGGATGACAGAAAGACTCTGGAGTCGTGGAGCGGCGGAAAGAATATAATGTAGTTGCGACGGAGCAACCCCGGTAGAAGATAATATCAAAGATCCCAAAGTCGCTCGGTTCGCTGGCAAGGAAAGGAACGCGGCAAGCCCGCTTGCCGTGACATTAGGGGTATTGCGAAGTGTAAGAGACTGAACCGACGGGAATGGCGGAAGAGGCACGTTCACTGCAAATGCAGAATCATCAAGCCAATCAAGATCTTCGAGGGTGAGTTCACGAAGATGGGGGAATGAACCCAGTCCAGCGCGTAAAGTACTAGCTTCCATGTGAACTCCAGACAGCTCCAGCACCTCCAAATTCATCCATAGCTGAGATCCAGGCAGACGTGCAAAACTGCCCTCGGCACCTTGGCGATAGGCCATCCGACGCAACTCGGGGCATCGGGCCATCAACTCCTGTTTCAAGGGTAGACATGATGCCTCGTCGCTGTACAAACCCACCGGCAGATCCACAAAGCGGAGATTAGGAAGGACCGAGACAGTCCGAGCCACGTTGGCTTTGTTGGCCTCGCGGGTCATGTATGGCATTCGGAGCGACAACACCATATTCCCTAGCCCCTGGGACTCTCGCACCGTTCGCATGAACATTTCCAGACGGACTTGCGGGGCATCGATAGGATCGCCATTGCGGTCAAAGAACGAGCGGCGTTTTCGCTTGGCGGCTAATTCGATTTCAAGTTCGCAGTAATGGACGGGGTCGATTCGGACGTTGGTATAACTAGTGGCAAGACCGGTATTAGTTTCGCACTTGTCAAAAGGCCCAAGGATCTCCTACAGAAGCGCCCGCGCATCCAAAAACCATCTCTTGCTCACGAGGGTGCAGTGTGCCAAATCGCGCATGTCGCATAACATACAGCCATCGCTGGCAGATTCCTCGGAGGTGCCATATGTGTTGTCAACGGCGTGAGGACAAACAAAGGAGAAAATGCGTGTCAATACTGGCCGAGGTAACTGTTTGGTATAATCTCGGGCGGGCACATTAAGGCGGGGCGATGGCGGGTCGGTCGTTTCCCGATCACTTCGCCGTGAGTTTCGTCGTGAGCTTCGCCGCAGCTTGTCAAAAAAGCCCATTCTGACTGGGAGGTGGAAGAATGTGAATATTAAAAGAGGGGAGATGACAGGAACAAAACGCGTTAATGCAGGGTCCGTCAACCATGTTCCCCCTTTCAGCCCCCCCGGAACATGAAACACGGGCGTTTCAGTCTAACGGGGTTTCATCACATCTATTAGATCCTGAAGATCCTCCATATGAAAGGCTTTGATGACAAGTGACATGGAATGATTTCTCATTGGCCAAATATTATGGAGAAAGACGATTCAAGGGACCTCCCACAGAGATTCCAAGGAGAATTCACATGACATCACTGAACAGCGTCATTTTTAGGAAATTCCTGAAATTCAATTCAATTGAATTAATTCATCCTGCTCATTCTGGATATTGGACCCATATACCATGTACCATTGGCCATTGGTTGACATCATCATGGTTGTTGTCCATATATTCGAACCTCAGCAAAGACTGGGAAAAGCAAAACACACACTTTCAACTACCTTACACACTCAATTCACATCCCAAAACCACACCCATCATGGCGGAAATAAGTCGCAACTTCATCGATCCTCTTCCCTGGCCGGCGCATACCAACACACTCCCAGAATCCACGCCCGAGGGACACTGGAAGCACCTTCCACCGTATGAAGTACAACCTGTTGAACAGTTTGGCCCAATCAAGTGGCGTGGAAAATGTCTCTGTGGAAATATCACTTATCTCTTAAAGCGAGAGAAACCACTCAATGCCAAATACTGCCATTGTCGGGTGTGCCAGGTTACCCACGGAGCTCCTCTTCAATGGGCGGCTATTTTCCATAAGGACGACATATCATTTACCAGTGGCACGAGCGGTCTAGTATTTTATTCTTCTACACATGAAAGTCAGGATCATGTGTTGCCTACCAAACTGTCCTGTGGCAATTGCCGGACACTTATCATGGATGAAGGCCGGAATATGTGTTTGATCTTCCCTGAATTGATTGAGCTCGAGGGATCTAGCCAGCAGCAAAGAGAGAAGAGGGGGATCTTCAAGCCGACGTATGTGCATGTCCTACTATACCATAAGTGCAAACTAATGATCCCGCTAGATGTCATATTTTCTATAAGTCACGCGTGCTAGACCTCCCCGATGGTCTCCCCAAGTGGAGCGGAATGGAGAACTCCAGTGAACGAGTGGACGACCACGGTAACCGGATCGGAATCGAGAAATGATTGCGAGATAATCCAATGCGCAACAGGTATGTATGGGCTACGGAAGCAAATGGGAATGGCCAAATGGACCCAAAGGATTAGATGATTGTATAAATAGGTAACAATTGGACATAGGTACAGACGCCGAACATATGTACGTTGTTCCATCCAACCTCGTAGTCACCACTATGAGGCCTGGCACACGCCAGACTGCACCGACACCGGGTCACTGGTTGCGCTACCCCAATCAGCAGCCCCGATAACCTTACCCGCCTCTGTACTATCATCGGCTCGGATCTAAAAAGCTATAAGTATTTACTCCGCTTGCAAATTAAGAAACTTACATAGTACTGTGGCTCGACAAAGTACCACCAATCATCGCTCCGGAATGCATTATCCAGTGACTGGCTTGCCGGGTCATTCCACCCGGTATTGCGAGTATCGAAGTGCGCATGCTTCGACCATGACACATACACCTTCGGATGGTCATTGTTCTTTACGCCGTTCGGGGTTTTGGCGCTTCCCGCGTTGACCTCCTCCGTCGTTAGGGTGTTTTGGATGTCGCCCCAGGCCAGGTTGTGGTACCCGCTATGCGCAGAGAGCAGGGCGCGCGATGGCGCCCACATGTTGCTGTCATCTCGAGAGTGGATTATTACTACTCGCTCCCAGTCGCTAGAACAGACGTTAGAGGTAGGCCGGACAGGCGGCATTGTATTTCACTATGGCGCAGAATGGGCTACCTACTAGTCATGTCCAGTGTCGATGCCGATAAATTCTGCGCCATCTTTCTCATAAAAGAGATTATAGACAACGCGCACTTCGGTATCGCTGCATCTCTGATATGTATAATAAACGGGAAATTCAGGGCCCGGATTCCCGATGCCAACGCCAGGGTTGCGGCAATTGCACCCGACGTCTGGGTAATCACACTGTGGCGCGCCCGGTGTCCTGTGGGCGTCATCATAAACATCTGGTGTGTTTGGTGAGCCGCCATACGTCCAGGTTGGATAGCAGGGCGGCTGATTCAGGGCTTGGCCAAAGAACCACATGGGCGCGTATCGGTGTGCTAGATCTACGCCACCTGCATCGAGCAGTGAGCCCATCTCATCGTCTGTTATTTGGGATAGGGCTACCACATGGCTAGCAACCAGGACTACCAAGCTAGCTCCTAGTTTCAAGTGCATGGTTGGACTTGTGTTATGATATTGCGACAGTGTTTCAGCATTTGAAGTGGAATATCTCACTCATTAAATATAGACTTGGAGACACTATAGCCGGGAATCTCACCAGACCACCTATTTCCGAATGGGGTTATGAGCTGCTAAGGGTCACATCGCGGCATGCAGGCCCGCATTAGCCTCGGAGTACCCCGAGATATCCCGCACGTGTGTGCTGCAGAATGTGCCAGTCGCTACGCTGCACAGAAGCCATGCAGGTTGTTTTATTCCAGGACTCAGATGCTATGGCACAAATTTGGAACACAATTAAAGTAATTTACTTAATGTACGGAGTATGACTACTGTGGCTCGTCTCGCTTCCGCCTAATACAGTTTGGTGAAATTTGTGCAGTAGGTACATATTTCTTGGCATTATGAACCCCCAATGTGTTTGTCATCACTCTAGTGTTGCTTACTCTCCAGATAATTGCCCCTCGATCACTTCGAAGTATGTTTTGTCAAGACAACCTGCTTTCCATTCACATCACGCGGCTCGTAAGCAAGCGCTGCAAATCCGGCTTCGGCAATGTCCTTGTCGTAATTCTCCATGACCCAATGAGCCATCATGTCCATGCCAGCGCAAGCACCACCAGCAGTCCAAAATTTGCCGTCAACGATCCAATTCTTCTCGGCCGTCCACTTCACATTGGGAGCAAATTCCCTTGCAATTGCGATGGCTTCGTGGTTTGTCGTGGCGTTCAGGCCATCCAGGAGACCCAGCATGGACGTAAACAACCCACCGGTGCAAGTGGTGAATACGGTCTTGACTTCGTTGGCACGTTCACGCACAAAGTTTGCTATCGCTGGCGGGATGTTTTTGGTATAATCTGGCGAAGGCCCGCCGATTAGGAGATAGTCAAGCTTGGGACAAGCAGACAGGGTGATCGTAGGCTGTAATTCGAAACTTCCGGGAAGGGTTACAGGGTGCAGTCCATCGCCGATATAGTGGAATTCAATATCAATACCGCGGTCAGCTATGTCGGGATTGTTGAATCCCCTCAGGTAAGGAATCGAGGAGCTGGATAGGACATCAACGGGTCCTGCGACGTCCAACATTTGAAATGGTATCATGATAATACCGAACTGGATGGGAGCCATGGCTGGTGGATTTATAGAGGATGGTAGTATGGTAGTAGAGACAAGAGGATGGCGGTAGAGATGAATGAGACCCAGGGAAAGGGCCATGCCAACTATTTGTATGCATCGAAACGATCAACAAAACATCCCTCACTGGTCCAACCTCTGTGACAGGAGTCTTTGATGTCCCCCATATCGCGGGACGGAAGTATGAGTTGTGTTGTTTTTGTTCCGATCCATGGATCCATTTGTGGAAATCCATGGATCCACAGGCCCACAGGTCCACGGATTAGCCCTGGAGAGCCCCCGGGCCGGGTCTACAGCTGCCTTCCCACGGGGTTAATTATCGCTTAGTCACCGAAATCGCGGATCGGAGACAGAAACTGAACATTCCGTTCCGTCCTTCATCTCCCAACAGATGAGTATACAATTTTTTTTTTGTCTCTTTTCTCGTACTCCGTACCTTATTTTCAGTCGTGTCACCTGGGTATTTTTTTCTCCGAGCTAAGGTCAGCTCCCGTACAACCTTGGGATTCCCTGCTTTTCTCAAGACCAATTAGGAACTAGAACTCAATGGGTGAAGGACCCAAGAACAAGGCCTCCCAAGCGTGCGAAATATGCCGCTCGCTGAAGGTCCGCTGTCTGCCTAGCTCCCAACCTGATACATGTCTAAAGTGTGTGAATTCCAAAAAAACCTGTGTATTTTTGGAGCGACAGCCACGGCAACCGCGGCAACGCCAGCCGAAGCATAGCTCAAAGGCCCGAATTCGTGCGCTGGAGTCGAAGGTTGATAATCTGCTTGCTATCGCTAATCAGTCCAAACTGAGTCACGGGAAAGGACCTTCACAGCAAGAGGCGGGGTTTCTGGAAAATGGCTTGTCTACCTATAGTTCATCTTCTAGCGGGGAACGAGATTCCACCTCCAGCAGCAGCCATAACAGCAGCACAAGTTCAACACACCTCGATTGTCCTCTTGATAAGTGGGCTGGCTATCCTAAAATCAATGGCATATCCTGCCCTGAACTACTACTTGAGTGTGGCCTGTCTATTGGTGCTGCTGATGGATTCCTCAACCAGTTTCGCACCATGACCTCTTACTTTCCATTTTTCGTGGTTCCCACTCATGCCAATGTTTTGACGATGTGTAAAGAACGGCCTTTCGTCCTTGTGGCGGCATTGGCGGCGGCGACCTCTTCGGACAGGAAATTACAAAACAATCTCGGTGAGAAATTTAGAACTGGCGCTCTCCACACTATTATGGTTCACAATGAAAGGAGTCTAGATCTCCTAAATGGAATGCTAGTATACTTGGCCTGGTGGGTAGACTGTGCTTCCATATCACTCTTTGGTTCAACTCTGATAACCAACGCTTACTTTAGGTATCACTTTTATTACATTCCCAAGAAAGAACAGTTCAACCAACTACTCCATATCGCGATTGGCATGGTTGGTGACATAGGCTTGAACCTCACACCTGCCGAGGCAATGAGCAGGAAGGTAGGACTTCGATTGACACATTATCGCAAAGTCTCTACACCTTCAGCGGATCACGATGAATTCTTTAGCCGAGAAGCCCGTCGAGCATACTTAGGATGCTTTTATCTTTCTACTCTGTAAGTATTTTCCCCAAAAAAACGCCCTTTGACTGATGGATATTTCCTGATGAACGTATCATCATCGCTCAAAACCAGAGTGTATGACTAATTAAAATTGTTGGTAGCACCGGCTGGGTTAAAATGAAGCCAAATGGTATTCAATTCCAAAGTTATATGATTGAATGTGCGACATCGTTGGGTCAAGAATTGGAATATCCAACGGACACATTGCTTTTACCACTAGTCCAGCTTCAAAACATGGCCGAGGTGAATCACCGCAGTCTTTCAACTGTTGACCATATGAATGGCTTAGATCTTGAAATGAAGGTTCAATTCTTTCAAGCCGAACTTGCGCAGTGGAAGCACTCGTTTCCACTTGTATCTCAGCAAGCGAGTAAGTTCGAACGATCGAAAGCCCCAATAGAATCGATGCTAATGTGCCGTAGACTGGATGGACCTGGCTTGTGAGATTGCTGTGATGCATGTGTACGAGATGGATCTCGTCAATGTCTTTACGTCGAAAACGCGACGAACGACGAATTCTCTCAAACATTCAACAAGCCCATCTTCTACCTCTCGAATTCCCCTAGAGGTTCTCTTTCTCTGCTTGAAATCGGCGGGGCAGCTTGCGCAGAATTTCCTCTCAATCCCAATATCCGAATACAGCAGCCTCTCTTATATGCAGTGGTCTTGCATCATATATGCTATCTCCATCATTTATAGACTGACAGTTGGGATTCCCCAGCTTCGTGACTGGGATGTTCGTGTTGCGCGAACAACCGTTGACTTTGATTCTATTCTAGGTGCGTTGTGCAGTCGCTTCGACGGTGTATCGCGTTGTGATCATGCCGCACTGGAGAATGGAGACCTATTCTCAATGATGGGATCAATATTTGAAAACGTCAAGCAGACCTATGGCAGACTCCAACAGTTGCCGCAGGATGATAGTGCAGATGACACCGGCCAAGTTCATGCCACGAGCTTTGTGCCCTCTAAGCTCAAATACCGGCACCCGTGCCCTGCATTCCAGACCTGGAGGACAGGTCGGCTCGGGTAATATCTAAGTACAATGTGACTGTCTCATGTGAGCGGCAAATTCTTAATAATTACTCTTTATCGGGTTAAAACTTGTTCTTTAAGACTTCGACCAGTTGGCTTTGGTAAAGCATGGTTTTATTGGCCACGTAGATGTCCATTGCGCCGAAGATCGAAATAAGGCTACGTCAAATTGACAGGTGATTGTCGATGATTCTTAATAGAATTAATATGAGAATGTTTCTTTCATGTTAACTTCTTTCACACTAGCACAAGTGGAATTACCGCCATCATGTCCTCGAACACAAATTCGGAGCTAGACATCGAGACCTCTAGCAGCAGCTTTCTCGGTGACCTAGGACTTCCGATCCGAAGGTGTCTGTACAAGGGACCTAAATAGTTTCTAGAAACTATAAAGATGGAACGAAGTCGCCAGCAAGAGGAATTTGAGGCCAGTGAATAAGTGCTCTTCACTCAGGTTAATAAGCATGTCTTTGGTTGCGACATCCTCAACTCCGACGATGGTATCCTTCAACATTACTGGAATTCTTACGACTCTTCTTAACACTTTTTGCTCGTCAAAATGACAGTCTCGCGTGCTCAGGAAACTGTGGCACGAGGATTCGAAAAATATCTATCTTTGTGTCTTACACCTATGGGCCTCATCAACTATCTTCGAACCTTTGAATCCGCCACTTGCGAGGCAAAAAATGGCTCTGTTAAACAGCCAGACTGCCAATTTTTACCGAGGATACTTCCTCACGGCCGAACCACCAAATGGCCTTCCCTTGTTGTAGAACTGGCTTTTCGGGGACCCCTTCGAAATTGATATCTGATGCTCGGTTTTGGCTTTCCAAATTGAACGGCGATGTGCAAATTGTCATGACAATTGAGATCAGTCGCAGCTCACCAAATGTTGTGCTCGACTTATGGAAACTGGTGAACGATAGGGTCGAATGTCAGCAAGTTGTCATGATCAACAAAGGCGAGAACAATTCTGTCTTACGTCAATGGCCAGCCACTGGTCATCCGGTTCGACAAGCTCTTTCTTCGCCCACCGACCATTCCGAAAGAAACAAATATCAGCATTGGCAACGCTATTATTGATAGCATTGCCATAGAAGTCTGGGAAGAGCAAGGTTTTTGATGGCCAGACAGCATCGTCCCCACATTACTTGTCACTTCGACTCTGACATCTCTCTGATATCTCTCTCACTTTAGTGTCACCTCCTCGCTACTTCTCATGTCACCTATCTCACCCTCTCAAAGCCAAATTTGTCACTACGCCGATGGTTGAAGTCGATCATATCGTGTACGTCGGCTTGCAAAATATCACTGGTCTCATTTCATCTCGTTTCTAGTTTCTAGTTTCTTGTTGTCTCTCACTATTTTAGTGCCACGCTGAATCCATTCCGTTAATCCGAAGCCTGACATCCTGGGTCGCTCCATCAGTCGACACAAGCCGTGCTTCAGTTGAATTTCCCTCTGGGAATATCTGAGCCGTCAAAGATACCTCTCCTTGACCACCCAAGACCTCAACGCTGGACCAATCCACGAAGACTTGCAAGTTGATACGTTTATCCGCATTCGCTGATAGTGGTGCGTGATACAAGCTTGCAAAAGTCTTGTCGAAAGATCCATCTCCTGAATTTCTCCGATCCACGAAGACCTCTTTGCTGGTAAAGTTGTATCCGATGAGTGTTTCTTGCTTGAAGTCAGAGCTAGCACGGACAGCTATCGCAAACGTCGATGCCAGAGACTCGTCGGAGTCATGATCAGCAAATCTCATGTCGATCTTGAATGCCTTGCCTGGGGAGTCTAGGCTGGTTGATCCTTTCGATACAGATTTCCAGGAATGCTTCAAGGTGTGGTGATTAGCAACACTCCGCCAGCCGTATTGCGGTTGTTGAAGGAGGGTGACCTTCCCATTAACATTCTTCAAAGACAACTGACGGGGAACAGACATGGCGCTTCGCCAAGGGCTTGTCGGGATCGTCGCACCATACTGCCAGTTATTCATCCACGCGATTTGGATCACGTCATCTCCAGCAGGAAGTCCGTTATAACTGGCCGCAGCATAAAAGTCTGGACCCCAGTCCATCCAGTTGGCAGACTTGTTGTCCGGATGGATGCTAGCAGGATCAGCTTTGAAATCCGTTCCGTTGAAGTCGCCAATAAAGTATTGCGTGCCTGATCCGACGGTGCCAGGCGGCCCACCAGGGTTGAGTCCCAAAACCAATACCCATTTCTTGATTGATGGGTGTCCCTTTATGGGCATTTGGAACAGATTGGGACATTCCCATACGCCGCCGACGGCATTGTAGGGTCCGAATTCGCTGGCCAAAGACCACTCTTTGAGGTTGTCCGAACTCCATATTACAACTTTGTGGAGTGATGCCAGAACTGTGACGGCGACCCATTTCTGGGTATCTTCATGCCAAAACACGAAGGGATCTCGGAAGTTTTCGAATTCTGCTCCATAAGGAGAGGGTGGATTGTGAATCACCGGGTTCTCAGCATCATATGTTGTCCAAGTCTCGCCCTCGTCGAGACTATAAGCGATTGACTGAGATTGCTGCTCTGCCAGAACGTGCTTTCCACTTGGAAGCTCTTGTGAAACGGGATACTTTATGGGGGGAAAGGCTGTCAGTCTCCAGGAGTAATCAAGTGAAATAGTTATGTGATCTTACCATGGAAGTATACATGGCGACCAAAGGAATCTTTCCATCAACCCCGAAGCCACTCGTGTTATTCACATCTGCTACCGCACTTCCCGTGAAGTACATCTCGGTGACATTCTCAGGGTATCCACGAGCAAGTAGAGCAACGGGGCGCTCTTCCCAGTGGGTCAAATCTTTACTCGTTGCATGACCCCATGACATATTCCCCCATTCAATACCAGCGGGGTTATATTGGAAGAAGAGATGGTAGGTCTCATTGTAATATACCAGTCCGGCAGGATCGTTCATCCAGTTTTCAGCAGGAGAGAAATGATATTGAGGACGGTATGGTTCGGTATAGTTCAATCCGGTTACCGTCCCGGCGAGAAGACCCATGGCCATGAGGAAATTGCCCATCTTGGAATTTGAAACCCTCTATGCAAAGAAAAGCTATTTTATTCTATTAGGAAGGAATTCATACAAGATTTATAGCTGGGAAAATCTATCATCCCACATTTGGTACTTCTTGGCATGCCTCTTTGGACATCCCATTCTGCAAATCTTCGGGGAAATACAAACTCTCACCCCACATTCTTGGAAGAACGCTTGAGCAATCGGCATGCCCGGAGCTAAGTCGCTGAAACTCGGGAAGTAAGCTCGGAGCTTAAGACATACTACATATACATATATACGACGTATTCGGGCCGTAGACTTCTCACCCCGCACATATCGCAGGGGCGTGTGCGGTCCCGAAGGTAAGATGTGATGTCACGAAGGGACTACAAAGTAAAAGGTATCGCTGACAGCAAATGAAGTGAAATCAAATGAGGGATTTTTAGCATCCGAGCAACTCCGGCAATTTTCACTTTGATTACATTAGAAGTCCGAACTTGACCGTCCTTACTTGGGGTAACTCGATTGCAAGACATACAGGAAGTCTGCTGCTCCACAATACTCTGACACCGATAAACTCTCGTCTTGGAGAGGAAGCAAGGAGGAAGAGATTAATAATCTGTCTATATAGTTTTGACGAACTATATGCAACTAACAAGAATTATCTAAACAAAATATCTTTTCTTCAATAAGACCGAAGCAGAGTCGAGTCGGGTATCTCTAAATTGCTCTATTGCGGTCAAAGCTGTTAATTAGACTCACCTTCCTATTCAGGACGACTCACTTCTCAACTTCTTCTCATCAAGAACCTGAGAAGCTCAACAAAATACCTGCCCTAACATACTCGGGTTAATTTCCCCCTCTCATCCGCTTCTCCAACAATCCAGGTCAAACTAAAGTTACAAGCTGGCGTCCAACAAGATCAGCTCAGAAAGAAAAGAAGTCTTCATTTGATTAAGTGGCAGTCTAACAGCAAGCTTGAAGTACAGACTTTCACTCATAATATGGCTTCGCATCAATGAGTTTGAAGGCAACCTCCTTGTCATGACCGAAAATTAACGTCGCATTATACAGTCTTTGGAGTCTACGGATCATGTTGAGACTGCGATACCACGCATTATGATCCCTAGCCAATCCTCCGTGGGGATGACCCAGCTCATAATTTTCTGCGACATGAAACTGGTCCGTGGTCCAAATAAATGGTCCATCATTGGCAAGATTGATTTGCATAATGCATAGTCCAGGTGTGTGACCAGGTGAATGGTGGAGGGTTATGCCTTGGAAGAGATCAAGTTGTGACTCGTTGAAGGTATTCCACTTCAGCTCTTCCAGTAGCATATAATGTCCTAGATAGACACCCAGGTCTGCCCCGGTTGCTACCGCCCAGCACGCGTGCTTGAACTCTTCTTCGTGAACATAGATTGGGACATCTGTGTTCGCAAAATGTTCAAGTCCTCCAGCATGATCAAGGTGCAGGTGGCCAATGATGACCGCTTTCACATCTTTGATGTCGTTCCCAGTGGCTTTGATAGCATTCGGGAGTTTATGGTTCTCTGAGTACTCAACTCGCGGAAAGACATCCGTGACTGGTGCTGGCCATTTCTGTATTTTGTTAGTTCATACATAACCAACATTGCCATACAATCTGAACAAACCACGTCTAGATCCTCAGCACAGCCCGTCTCGTAAAGAATGAGGCCAACTCCCGGATACTCAATGAGAGCGGACAGGAGAACTAAATCTCGGCGTTTGTTTACCGGATTAAGGTTGCTCAAGGAGCTTGTATTGCCGCCTCGGAAGATCCTATTCAAGTTAGTACGAAGTTTACTACTTGGTCTCCATTGGCAAACACAAACCATGATTCATCTGCTTGGAGGGTGCCCAGGTTCAGAATGTGCATCTTGGTCCCAGCGGGACACTTGAATGCCGGGACCGCGGCAGATACCAGTAGAGAGGCGGGATCGGAGGAACTCATGTTTCAGATGAGAGACATTCAATGGAGGAAATGATTTAAAAATGCGATTTTCATCACCGAGGGTATTCCGGAAGAGCCGATGAAGTCATAACAGGGTCTTCCCCGCATGTTGGGTACCGAGAGGGACCGATTAGTGCAATGCTGACCCCTTGGATGTATCTTGTATGACAGAAGTACTAATTATGGGGTTTTCAGTCATGGTTTTGCAAAAGATCTCTAGTTTTAAGAGATGATAAGATCTATATATATGCACAGGACACTCCAGGTTAGGAATTCCAAGTCCGTTTACTCTGTGTGTTGGGGTGAAGACTCCCAAGGTTTCTCTCCCCAGGTCATATCCACAAATTCCCCAAGGGGAAAAAGAGGGGATTGACGAATAATGATCTCGGGAGACATGGAGATCGGAACAATAATCGACTTGGCATTGACGACCATCGGGAACTCGGCAATATTAATGAGGGCATTTCTAGTCTATCTGATAGTATCCCTGTTTATTGTTGTCTTCTTAACCGGTTCTACTCAGCGTTTTAAGTACAATCTACAGCTATACAAACTATAAAAACTATATAAGCTCAATCCTACGTAGCCAATCAATCGCACTGAATAACATACCTCGGATTTAGAATTCTCCGGATTTATCAGGGTCTACTTATGTTCGGGGAGAGATGTTCGGAGAGATGTCCGGTGACTTTATAGCAGTTCCATTGTGGAAACTGCTTAGGTCTTTGAAATATAGGTTAAGAAATATCAACAGACATATATACGTAGTTTTAAGCACCTATAAAGTCCTTTAACACCCATGAATCTGACCACGGTCCACGGATATGTGATCCCACCCCACTGCAGTGCAAGAAGGCAAACAACCGACGGAAGCAACGATGCCAGGCCAAAAAGATCAAGGTTCTGCACCAGGTCTGTCCAGGAGGTGAACGATTCGCTCTCACGCTTCGGTGGGCGAACGGAAGCAAAAAAAAACAAATGCGACTTGAATAGCGACACCAAGCGGCAGTTCGATATAGACGTTCCAACGCCAGGAGACTCTCTCAGTCAGAGCCTCTCCAATCAAAAGACCAAACGTTGTGGAAAGTCCACGGGAGGCTGAGATGAGGCCAATCATGATAGGGCGCTTTGCTGGCAGAGCGATGAATGGAACGAGGGAAAAGGCACCGACCAGCAGGCTCGCACATCCCAGGCCAGCAATCGCACGACCCACAATCAGGGTTGGCAGGGTTGGAGAGTGGGCGCAGCACCATAGACGGCAGAACCGACGAAGGAAAGAACAATGGAGATGCTGTAGAGCCATTGGATTGAGTATCGAGCATTTAGCTCAGATCCAGAGATGCCGTAACTTCCATTCTCAATATCTTGAGCACGGAGAGTCCTTCCATTCCCCTTTACATGTTTGACTGTGTGGATTCGAATTTCGGTTCTCTGCAGCACGTCGCCAAAATTGCGACTCTACCGAGATCGATTGTTGCTGCTGTTCTTCCGGTGGTGTTTTGCTCTCCTTCTGAGAAAGGTGGTGTGCAAGTTTTGCTTGATGTGGCCGGAGAAGCATCTTGGATGACCGGAGTGGAAACTCACGGCATTGTAAGCTACGCCTTTGAAGCGGTATTTAAAAATCCCTTGTGTTCACTTTTTCATTGGATACTCTGAGAAGTGGACAGGTTAGTGGCGAGAGATTGGTGTGGAAGATCTGGACTGAGAGCGAATTCCTACAGTTCAAGTAGATCAGCTTCTCACATTTGATAATGTTAAATTAGTATAAGTCGAACTATATAGCATACAACGGATGAGGTAATATGTTATAAAGATGATACTAGGAGGTATTCGGCATGAAATGTAAAGAAAGTAAGCCAGGACTTTACTTCCATAAACTACATGTATGCAACGGCAAGGTTAGCTGTGCGGACATAATTACATATGAACTACCACCTAACCCTATATCCATGGCAATATAAAACTTGAGATAAAGAGACACCTGTGGTATATATCATTTTCCTCTATTCCGGTCACACCTTCGTACGACGTAGTATATCTATGCCGTTTGTGTGTAACGGCGACAAACGACCGAAGCTGGGAGAGTCTTTGCCTTCCCGACTTCACTCTATCCCACCATTTGGTCGCAGTCTCTGGTATCTTTGTTACCCTTTACCGTTGAATTGATTGAGTTGACAATATGGACCCTATTCTTGCAGAAAGCAAGCTCGCCTATCATGGACTCCAAATGACATCAACTAATACCAATGGGACAGGTGTTGATACAGGAAGGGCTCAAACTGATGAAATCAAATCCCTGATCAGGACCTTTCTTGGGGATATTGGCTTTGATCGCAGCATCCACGTCGTCAAAGACCATGAGATGAAAATCGCTGTTTGGCAATATTTCCAAAATTTGGGTCTGGGAGAGAAGAACGAGAAATCGGTCCAACAAACCCTCAACCCTTCGGTAAACTTTGCATATCACGGGTACACGTCTCTTCCCTTCCAGGTGAGGGTGCTTGGTGCCATTCAATTCCTATATATGTTTCTGGTGGATGACGTGGCGGAGGAGTTCATAGAAGAACTTCAAGCATTTGGTCAAAAGTAAGTCTTCAACTTGACTTCATCATGCTAGTATTCAACTGTATGCGTATGCTGATCTACTTAGCTTTGTTCTCAACCAACACCACAAGCATCCCATCCTGACTGGGTTGGATTCTCACCTTCGCAATCTATCGAGCTATTACGGCCCATACTGCCACTCGGTGATGATTAAAGGCATGCTTGATTACATCAATGGACGTGTCGTCGAGTATAAGATCAAACAGTCCAATTTCAAGTTCTCCAGCGAGTCCCGTCTCATGCCTATGTTCTTGAGAACTAAGGTCGGGGGTGCAGAGATCATGATCCATTTTCTTTATCCCAACTGTGTCTTTCCCGAAGACGAATATGTTATGCAGTATTTCCCCGTCACTCTGGAACTTGTGCTCTTCATTGACTTTACCAACGATATCTTGTCATATTACAAGGAGTTCTGTCTCAACGATGAAACAGGCAATTTCGTGGAGAATTTTGCCGACGCGCATCATGTCCAGCATTTGGATGTCTTGCGGTACCTCACGAGCTATACCCCTGCTGTAAGTTTCAAACTCTTGGCCTTGTAAAGGCCTGGACTGCTAACAATTGACTGTAGGTGACAAAGTCAGCTTATGAACAGCTTCGGAATAGTCCATCGCTGCTCGCTTTAGTTAAGAATTTCACCCAGGGAATGATTATGCTCTTCACGGCACATCATCGATACCATCTAGTGGAGTTGCTTGCGGATGAGCAATATTTGCCACCTTATAATGAGGATGCATAGTGTTTAGGGAGCCAGATTGCTACCAAAGAAGCGACATATTCTCCTCTTTCTAGCGCTAACTTATACTTTCCTCTTTTTAATAATAAATGCAGGGCATAAACGGTATAATGACTCGATTGCGGGTGATGTTTGAGATATAAATTCTATACTGTAGATACTGTAGTGAGGAATTGTCCTATGATCGGCGGCAAAGGCAAACTAGCTATATCAGCTCAGACTCCTATTCTTAGCTGTCACACCAGTCCAAAAAGATACCATACTCATTTGCCCGATCATCTAGAACAGCCCATACAACTATATCGCAGCAGTACAACGCCTAGAAGAAATAATCTCCTATTTAGTTCATAGTGACTTGATTATCACTCCGTGCGTAGGCTGGCTGAGAGATGCACCATTTGCATCCGAGATAACCCGAGTGCCGTTCACTGCATTCTATTGGAAGAAAACCCTCGATGTTGTCCAAGACCCAGAGGCCAAGGCTCTTTGTACCCGTATTGCCATGTGGACCATTTTTGGTGGTGCCCAGGGACAATGAGTGACCTCGCAACCCAAGCCAATATCACGTTCTTGATTACTGTGCCCAACCCTTCCAAGGTTCATTTAACATTGTTGTACCTTGAAGATAGTCATATAAGCAATGAAGTAAAGATATTCCTGCCCAATGTATATACAAAGTACATATGTAGAGAGAGAAAGAGTAAGAGAGGTAGTAGATCCAATGACATCACAGAACCCACCCAATCACAACAACTCTTATTTTCTGCCCCTCGATATTCTTCAGAGCTCACATATTCTTACTCTCAGCACATCTCCCTTTCAATTTCTATATACCATGTCTTGGTCCCAAAAGACTTTTACTCTCCCCGCTCGCAGCCGCGGTTCCTACCTTATCACCGACCATGTCCTCCAGGAGGTCCCCGAGATCCGCGACTACAAAGTCGGCATGCTGAATTTGTTCGTGCAACACACCAGCTGTGCGCTTTCGCTGAACGAGAACTGGGATGACGATGTTCGCGCCGATATGAGCGATGCGCTAGACCGCATTGCGCCTATGGATAAGAAGGGAAATCTGTATCGTCATTCTGCCGAGGGCGAGGATGATATGCCTGTATGTCTTTGGGAATAGCAGAGAATCAAGGGGTCTTTTTGGTTGGATCGGGATACTCTCGCTTGAAGAGTCCAGCTCTAACTAGCTTCCGCGATTCTTTTTACCCTCTCTTTTCGAAATCAGCCACTAATGCACTGCAGGCTCACATCAAATCTGCGCTCATTGGCGCTTCGGTCAATGTCCCCATCACAAACGGTCGATTGGCAACAGGAACTTGGCAGGGCATCTGGTACCTGGAATTCCGGACCAGTCGGCACAGTCGCAAGGTTGTCGCGACGATCCAAGGCCAGAAGGCTTGACTGGATGGGGCTGAGCGCGGGCAATTGTGATTTATCTAGGAAGTCCCGGCTACGAGTGATGCAAGATAAAAGGAAAACAGGGATTTAGGTTGGCGAGAGAGTCGACAAATGACCCAGATTATATGAGATCATCATATGGTAGTCGAAGTAGTACAAACATTTTGAGGACAATACCATCATCACACACGATCGAAGGGCAGTACATCCATTCATCGATATTCTGTACACGGCCTCAGGCCCAAAACAAAACTGAAAAACGCAAATATTGTGCAACGCCGATAAAAGGAAATCTCATGCTAGCCGTCTATCGCTGCTCCAAGCTACCCTCTGTCACACGCTGAGACTCGTTGACCTCGGCGGCATCACCGGTGGGCTCGAGGGGGTAGCTGGTGGCGGGCAGGGACTTCAAGTAAGCGCGGTGCTGTTCGTGGGCCTAGAGAGAGATATTAGCAATGATCCAATGGTAGCCGGTGGAAAGACGGCAGATATAAGTGCACATACGAAGGGAACACCGCAGTATCCGCAGGTAGCGATCTCGGGCTTGTCAGTGTTAATGAAGACCTTGGGGTGGCCGAGAGGACCACCGCCACCGTCACAGCTGACAACCCTGGACTTTGTCCAGCGGACGGGCTGTCTGTGAATGAGCTCGATAGCGGCATATGGTTGCGGCTAAAGAGTAGCAAGTTAGTTCTCAATCCTTGGTATATACATTGCCAACAGTAATTGCATCACCACTGCTATTTTTCAATGGGTTCGTACCTGGGTCTCCATAATTGTCTGCTCAAAGCGAGGTCCGACCATAGCCTTCTCGCGCGGCTGCTGGCTGGCGGCCCAGGTGGTAGCGCGGTTGGGGGCCTGCATGCTCCGGATGCGCTCGCCAACCTCGGGGGCCTCCTGGAGAGTACCGTCGTTACGCTGACGTCCAAACTCCTCGGTAGGCACGGCATTGGTTGCGGAGACGTTCGGGGCGGGCTTCCGCGGGGTCGGGTCATTGACTTGGATAGGGTTCTCGTTCAGACGGGGCACGGTCGAGGAGTATGCGCGGACAACGAAGCGCGGGCGAACCGACGCAAAGGTCACAAGTCTGCGGCCACAGGACATCATATTGGGCAAGATTTCCCCGAGGGTGGTTGGTTATGGACAGAGGACAAAAAGAGCGTTTGGCAAGGGACCAGGTGCAAGTCGGCACTGAATAATCCGCGAGGTGTGGTTTGGTGGATTTTCACCGCTTGCTGGTTTGAGATAGCTCCACCCTACACTTTGGATTTTCTGCCGCATCATTTTATTTTGTGCCTCAGTCCAAAGTGGTTCGACATCTTCCTACCTCTTATTTTGAAATTAGCCTTCATATCCATTGAGGTTTTACTTTCAACCCATCATGGCTGGCTCTTCCTCCCCGGCTGGAAAGCCTGAGAAGACCATGTCGTCAAATCTATTGACCATGAAGGTATGAATGACGGTTTTCTGATTAACAACCCATGTAAACTAACATTATATCCCAGTTTATGCAACGCGCTGCAGCTGCAAAAGAAACTCAAAGCCCATCTTCCGATGCCAGCCCGCACAATTCAAAGCGTCCCCGTCTCTCTACCGAGGCTGAGAGCCCTCGCACCTCAGATATGGAAGCGATTGCCGCTGCACTTGCCGCTGAAGAAGAAAAGCGACAGCAAGCTGTTGCACGAGCAGCTGCCGAGGCCGGTGAGACACACTGGGTTTTGGACGTTCCTGCTACACCCCAGTCCACTCAGCAGCCTATGGTATTGGCGGCAGACTCGCTGGATGCAGATGACGATACCTACTCCGGTGGTCGGCGTGCGTATGGCAATTTCAAGCGCAAAGAGCGCAAGGTCAGTTTTCTTTCATCTCTCACACTCCACATTTTATGCTCATTATTCTTAGCCACAAACTACACCCCGAAAGGAAGGTGATGATGATGAGGAGGACGACTACGATGAAGATGAAGACATAATCAACCCGTCCAATCCACAAGAAGTCAGTAAAATGATGGAAAAAGCCAGACTCAAGGCAGAAGCCAAAGCCAGAGCAAACACACGCCAAACCAAACTGTCTGAACTCACTAGTATATCTGGTTCTGGCCGGGGGTCTTTGTTGGGAGCCCCATCCTCTGACAAGAAGAAGAAGAAGAAGAAGCGCAAGAGCTACTAAACGGATGGATGATCTCCCACGACATATCCAACTCAGATCTTTTTGATTGGCGTTTTAGCATAGCATGTATGGCGTATTAGGGTTCCATTAATTGATTCCTTTTCACTGTCACCTGGTAATAAGTGCCGGCTCTTCCTCCGAACCTCTAATATATCATTGATCTTCAGTTCGGTGGAGTTAGATGTTTGGACGACAATATTTCCCTCTCGTATACACCGAGTCTGTAAGTAGAGCTCTAATGTGCACCAAGAAAGTGGTACGCACTATGCAGAAGCCGTTCACAGCTCCCTGTACTGGTCTGGCATAACCTCGCTGTCCAATGAACAAAGGTTCGTGGAACGTGTCTTTGATGGCATTGTTTGTTCTTGGGCCATGTGTGAAAATTTGAACTTGTTCTCATAATAATAATCGATGTACATTGTATATATACTAGGCCCTGGGCTCTGCTAAGGACCTCACTGAGTCTAAAGTGACACTGCCCTGATAAAGACTAAAGATATAAAGACACAGCAAAAAGGCACTACGTAGAGATACCTAAGTAGCGACTAGACCTTCTCGAAAAGAAACAAGAAACCGCCCTCAAAGCTTCGCCTTCTCCTCCTGCTTCTTCTTCTCCCACCCCTTCTGCGTTGCAAAATTCACAATCAAATTCCAAGCAGCAACCCCAAACCCAACCGGTGGTACAACCAGCAACGTCCACGCCCACCATCTCGGACTTGACGCCGCAATACTAGTCATAGCTCCCTTAACAGCAACCTCCAGTTCGGCCTTATCAGCATCATTCCAAACCACAACCCCGCGCCCGGTCGTCGTCCCCCGGAACTCCGCCTGCGTCGCTTTTGTCCGCACATCCCCCTGACTCCGGACCCGGTTCTCTGCATCCTCGGCTGTAAGATGCGCATCACGGGCGCGCAACCGCGCGGTTTGGATCTCAGGGTCATGAACACCGACCACAATCACCGTTCCGCAGATAAGATCCATCCCGCTCTCGAAGAGGAGAGGTACATCCAGGACAACTGCCCATTGGCCACGTAGGTAGTGGTAAATTAGGGCTTTGTAGACTTCCCACCGGACGGCGGGGTGGACGATGCCGTTGAGGACTTGTCGGTCGCGTTTGCGCTCTTCTGTGCTACCGAAGACGCGCCGCCCCAACGCTGGCCGATTCAGTGGTTTCCCGTTTGCATTTGCGGGCGCATCTTCCAATAATAAGTCCGGTGTGCTGGGGCCGAAGTAGTTGACGATTGCTTTGTAGCCTGCGGTGCCGGGTTCGACTACTTTACGGGCGAGGAGATCGGCGTCGATTATCGGGAGGGAGTAGGGTGGTGTGGAGAGGATGGATGAGACAGTTGACTTGCCCGTTGCTATTGAGCCGGTGAGTCCGATGATCAACATTTTGGCTTTAAAGAGAGAAGAGAGAGAGAGAGCAA